AGTGGGTGACTCACTGCCCTGAGCAGAAAGCTGCGTGGGCTCGTCCCCTCAGTCTCCCCTCGGTCACTCACACCTAGCGAGTGCCCACAGGTGTTGAGTAAATGTTGCTTAGTCAGCGGAGGAACATATGAAAATTGCTGGCTCTTGTTCGTTTTTTTTTTAAGAATGAAAATATTGAAACACATTTAAACTTCGTATTAGAAATACTACTTAGAATTCAGCCTCCATATGTAATTCTTAGTTGTAGCAAGTTGTTTTTTTTTGAGCTGTTAGAATGATTAGATAAGTAAGTATAAGTAACACTAGTTTTGGTGAGTCTCAGGTGAAAAAAAGAAACATCTTAAAACTTTAAATAATGAAATGTTTTTTAAGTTTAAAAAGAATGTTAAAATTATTCTTGTCCTTTCTGTGACTACATTCTGTACTTTCACATGAAAACATCTTTGACTTTGATGATTATTAAAAAATAGCAAATCATTACATTATGTCGAAGATTGATTTATCTAACGTGGACATAAAAAGTAAGAATTAACTCCTTTTATTAAGTCCTATAGTTAAAAGTCTGGGGCATATCTTTATGCCTGTAAATACATGTATGAATGTATATTTTTCAATTGAAATACCATCATTTACAATGCTTTTTTTTCTGAGTGCATATAGTTTTTCTTAATCAGTATGTAAATCTACCCTGATTTATTTAATCAGTTTTGTGATGGTATACATTTAGAATTTTTCTAATTTTTTTCTGTTATAAGAAGTAGTGCAGTGGACACGTTGTATATATGTCATTATTTCTCCAATTATTTGGGGGGATAAATTCCTGGGAATAAAATTGTTATGATAAATTTTTTTCATTATAAGTGCGTGTTTATAGTTTTTATGACATTGAACCACCAGAAACTTGCACTAGTTTATACTCCTGTTGATGATGAAGGGTATCCATTTTACCTCCCTTCCCTAGCTTCTCTGATTTTAACATCTTTGTAAATCTGGTAGCTGAAACTATTTCATTTCTATTTGCATTACTTTGGTTATAAGTAAGTTTAAATATCTTATTGTATCAAGTGCCATTTAAAAGAATCTGATGACTTTTGATTTGCATCTTCTTCCTTGGACTGATGGTAGCACTCCAGAGGAAAATTAGTAATTTGAAGTCAAAAGTCAGAAGAATAATTGAGTATATGGATATAAAACTAACCCCCAAACTTGTGTCTTCATCCACGTATCACTGTCTTGAAACCATGGCATAGAATGATCCTTAGCAGTTTCTAGTAAGCAGGAGTTAGTTGTTAAATGAATATCCTGTATTAACTCACTAAAACCAGGTATGTATAAAATAATATCTCTTTTCCTCCTTTAATACATGTATCATCTTAGTATTTCCCAACCTTTTTTCATTATTGTCCCCCAAAGGGTCTTTTTAGATATTTACCCTCTTTGACCTCCATGATATTTTCTTACCACAGATATACTGTGTATATCTGTTTGTGTACTGTGGCCTTTTGGAGAGTCACAAACCATAGTATCTGAGATTATTTTTACCCTCCCAAGAACCAGTTTGCACCCCCTTTGGGGTGATGCTACCATGGGGGGTGGTGTTGACATTTGAGGAGGAGGAGAGCTTTGTTATGCATGACTAGTTACTTCAGTTTCATGTGAGTCAGGGAACAGGTCAGTGTTTGCGTTTCTTTGTCAGATTGCCCAGAAGGGAACACTAGCTTCAATAATTGTCTCCTTACATCACCGATCCATTATCAAACTCTAAGCATAGAACCTTGGGGTTCCTAAGTTACCTAGAATATTCTGGATACAGTATTTTATTCTTAGAATGTTGATAAATATGGCAAGGACATGGTGACATTTTCTTAGTGGTAGACATTTTGCTGAATTTAGGAAAGAGTGATCCTAATGCGTTAGGAGTAATAGTAAATGTTTAAACTTCTATCTCAGTGGTTCTCAAACAGTGATGATATTGCCTCCCAGAGGACACTTGCATAGGAGTATTTTTATTTGTCACAACTGGGGGATGGATATTGGCAGTGGCATCTCATGCATAGAGAGACCTGGGATGCTGCTAAACATCTTGCAAGGCACAGAACAGTGTGTCCTGCCCACCTCCATATATAGAATTATCTGGTCCAAAATGTCAGCACTGCTGAGGTTGTCAGACCCTGCTCTAACCTAATGATTCTACCTTTTGGAATCTATCTTTAGAAAATAACCCCAAATACACAGGAATTTTACATATGCATAAAGGTACTCGTTGAAGCTATGACTTCAATTTTTTTTCTTTACAAAGTATGTTCTTTTAGAAGACGTAAAAATAAGCAAAATATATCATTACTCACAGATCCCTTCACAAGTAATGTTTTTGGGATTTTGGTGTGTATTTTTTAAGTGGAACATGTATCACATATAGTATGTAATTATGAAATGTGGGAAATAAACTTAATTCTTTTAGACTTAGGAAGAGATTTGATTGGCCATCTCAGGACTGTATCAATTTTAGGAACACCAAAAAAAATTGGAAACTAGGTTAGAGATAATTAACTCACTCATTTTAGGAATACTTTATATAACCAATGCTCTTTAACTACTTATTTACTTAAGTCTTTTACTCTGAATACTACCCCACCCCCCACTGAGTTCTGTCTGAATTACTATTTTTAAATGCCTCTTATACTACTATAGACTGAAAAAGTACAGGCAGTTTTTGCATAAAGTTGACTTCCAGTCTGTATTACAAGTAGAGGTAAATGATAGCCCCATCACTAGGGATATGCTTTTATTTTTTTTTGTGAACTATGATTTAATATGTAAGAACAAATGGTAAAAATTGGAAGCATTCATAATGTCTAGAGATTTGACATTCTTCACATAATGGAATACTATATAACAGTGAATAAACCTCTAAAGCATAATGTAAATGGAAACAAGGCATAGAATAGAATATTTAGAGTAAAACATTGAAATAATGTTAGTATCATACATAATACTATACTGTTTATAGGTAGATAGATATATACATACTATATAACCATATGAGTATAGCGAGAATACATGCCCAACCTCAAGATAGTAGTTGCCTCTGATGACAGGAAGGGAACTGGATCAAAGAACAGTACAAAGGCTCATTAACCTATCAATAGCCTTTTATTTCTTAGAAGAAAAAATTTCAAACAAATATGGCAGTATGCAAATTGGTTAAATTTGTGTATGAGTACATCATTTTTTATATTATCCCTTTTTTGTTGTTTTCAGAATATTGCAAGATCACATGTTTTAAAAGTAAGCGTACTTTTCAGATTTGTTCATGTTTGAACTAAGGCCAAATAAAGATTTTTATAATAGTCATAATTTAGCTGTGTAGATATAATAAAATAGTAACAAATGACTTCCTTGTAACCACAAGTAGTTAACTACAGCAAATAAAGTGACTTCCAAGGGTTTTCTCTCTTGTTTCTGGAATGTCGAGGACTTTCTGAAGGTATTTAGGGTCTACTGAATCTTAAGAAAGGTGAAATGGTTCTTAAAATTACTTAAGCAGTGATTGGGGTGATTGAGTGTGATATACAATTCTATAGATGATAAGTTAATAATTTTCCCCCATAACTTAACATGGAAAGGCAAATATGTTCACAAAGAAATTGTTGTGCATTAAGATTAAAAAATCAGTTTATTCTTATGAAGAGAGAAATGTGATATCTTTCAGCCTCTTGATGGTGATACTGTACTATGCCAGTTTCACAGAAAACAAATATCCCAAGCTCTTTTCTTTTGGAAGAATTATTTTCTTGAAACCAGTAACTGTTGTATTTGCATTCAGAATTTTATATAAAGGCTTTTGCCTCTGAGATTTTAGACATCTGATCTTTAAATTAGTAAAAGGCACTATACAACTTTGACCTTTCAAACTAAATATTAAATGTGCTTGTTTCTTGTATGATGTATGGCACCTTTGACAAATGCATAGTCAAGCATATTCTTCTCTCGCTAGTGCCAAAACCCGTCTCGTTGTTAAACTTTCCATAAACAGATCTGTGATAACTTACCCTAATAGAAGGATTTGCACCTGATTTTATGGTCATTGTCTTCTAATAAAAGCTTGACTAAATCATATAAATGTTTCGTGGGAGATACTCTACCAGATTGTATTAAATGAAAATTAGATTTGGGGGCCATGTTGCTGAGGCACAGATTTGTAGGAGATGCTGACCATTGCTTGGACATGCTATGGCCATTAACTTGCAAGTGTGTCGTTAGAAATTTCTAAGGACAATATATGTAAGCCCATGGTGCAGTGAAGATATTTAAATTTCTGTGATGAACTCAAATGTTTGAGCATTAAGTATTTTTTAAAAAAAGAATGATGTCTAGTGTCACCAAATTTAGATATATTAAATAGAACATATGGTTCTTTTCCTAAAATCAGACACCTGGTAAATTACGATTGCTGATCTTGTATGTATCAAAGTTTGGACTTGAAAGCAAAGGGACTCTAGCTTGGAGTGCATTCTGCTTAGCAACCACCTTGTTGTCTACTGTTTTGCCACTGAATGCACGTACTCATGGCTCATAAGTGTCTCTTACAGCCAGCTGGCCTCAACTGGACAATACTTCATTCACCTAATTTCCAGAATAGTCAAGCAAAGACATCAGCTCATTGTTTTTTAGTCATGAGGAAATTCACTTGTAAACTTCAAGTAGTAGCACACTGATCTCAAATGCCCCTGGACTATGAGAAATTGCCTTCTAATTCAGGAATGTCGAGTCCTTGGAATTCAGAACTGCTTCATTAATTGTTTTTCTCTTTAAAAATTCATGCAAGTATGTTGTTTAAAAAACACGGCCTCTAAAGTCCTGGAAAGGAGATTATAGCTCCGAGTAGAAAATGTATGTTAAAATCTAAGAATTCTTTTAGAATTTTTATATGAAAACAAAAATTTAGGAAGTTTGATTTTATTTTCTACTTTGATCCTCATGATTACTTTCTCTCTTAGAAAGCAGCAGTTTTGTTGGCATGTGAAGCTTCAGTTTCCTCAGAGTCAAGCCGTGTATATAGAAAAAAGGTATAGTATTGCCACCGTCTGTTAAGAACTTACTTGTTTTTATTATGTCTCTGTATTTAAAATGAGTCGTTAACTTAAAGGTGATGTCAGTAACTATGTATTAGTAGTAGGAGGGGTAACTGAGTTGTGTTGTAGGGATATAATGAAATGCTAAATACCATTGAAAATGAATAACATACAACTACCATATCAATATGGATGAATCTTAGAAGTAATGTTGAGGGAGAAAAGCATGTGAAAGAGGAATGCATGTAGTATAGCTCTCTGTAACATGAAAAAAAAATGTGGTTTTGGGGAATACCCTGAGAGGTCGTAGAACTTTAAGGCAAATGATGTTTGCTTCAGCACAGGGAGCACACATTAAGGAGAGAAATGCTGGGAGAACGGAAAAAGCTGAAAACTGTTTCTTAAGCTGGGTGCATATTTAGGAAGTGGAAAATGAGCCAAAATACTACTATGCCAAGAGAGTACTACTATTAGTAGTGTGTTTCCCACAGAAAATACATTTTTTAGATATGTACATATGTGTACTCATAATTGGAATTAATTTATATAAAACTTTTAATGCTTTTCCATTAGTATATGAACATTTCCAGGTATCATTTAAAAGTTTTAATGGTTGTATACTATTTGATTCACTGGGTTATGAAAATTTTGAAGTTGATTTTTAAGTAATATACTTAACATATATCCACATGATGAATAAATCCTCTCTTTGTCATTGTCATATAGATTTGAATGGAATACTTTCTTACTGAGAGGTGCACACCAAACTAGAGATGAGGAAAGGACTTAAGTTTTACAGATAGGGCTCTGTAGCATATTAGTACATATGAATATGTATAAATGTTTGGGGATAGTTACTAATTCAAAACAGTGTCTTAATTTTGTTTCTACAGCTTTATAGTTTAAAATAATGTGCATACATATAGGAAAGTTGGGAAACCTAAAATACTTTGTTTCCAGGGAAGGCAGTATCAAGTTTTTAACCTGGCCTTATGATTTAGAATGAATAAACTTGCACATGCACTGCAATCAGTATCATCTGAAACCTTTTTTCAGATTTTTTATTTTTGCAACTTTCAAATGTAATTCATCCTGACTTCTTTCTTTTCATCTTTGAGCACAGGTGTGTGTTAAAAGAGGCTTCATATTTTTATAATTAATTTATGGGGAGCCTCTCAAAATAATATTTTTAAAGACTTTGTTAAATGGGTCCAAGAAGTCTTTTTGAGCTGTTTTTCTAAGTAATTTTTGCTTAACAAGCCATTATATTTTGCCAAGATTAAAATAAAAGGTCTGTGTTCAGTTACTTAAACAAAAAACCACAAGATTTAGTGATTCTAAGTTAATACCTTCAGTAGAAAATTATAATAAGTTTTGGTTTTGTTTTCTTCTTTGTTGGGAAGGGTACCAGATAATAAAACTATTAATGAAATTTTAAGATCGTACATCGACCCAGAAAAATCTGATCCTGTAATTCGTCAAAGGTATGTTTTTAAAATCTTGTCACTTTCTGAAATTATTTAAAATGTGGAGGTATTTGTAATGTGCACATTTATTATGGAAAGTTATGACTATTAGAATGTGATGTGTTAATGCCATTTACTTTCTGTCCCATTTCCTTGGTTTTTACTCAAGGCTTTCTCAGTCAGAGATAACGTGTTTGGATAGTAATTAACAGAAGTTCGTACTTAGTCCGCTGTGTCCCAGATACTCTTTGAAGCAGATAATAATGTATTGATTCATGTAATCCTCACATTAGCCCATTCAAGTAGATTGCTGGTATTACACCCATTTCACAGAGGGGGATACTGAGCCATAAAGAGGTTAAGTGACTTTGTGTAGCTAATAGGCAGGGAAGCTGGGATGTAAACCCCAGCAGTCTGGAGTCAGTGTCTACACTCTTAACCCTGAAACTGAACTGCCTTTCAAGTTGAACCAAAAACTGAAAATTAGGAGTTTCCAAGTAACTGTTACAGACAGGAAATCTTGTTTCAGCCAAGTCTTCATAAAATTAAGAAAGGTATACTCTGTCTCCTGTCCAGAAACACAGCATGGACAGAAATAATTAACATAGGCCAGTGGAAAGAGTCAGTAATGAATGTCTAGGTTAGAGTAGCTAGCTCTTTCCCTTATGAGCTGTGTGATCAGGAGCAAGTTACTTAACTTCTGGGCCTCAGTTTTTTCCATTAATAAAATGAGATAGATAATAATCTACTAGATATAGTTGTTAGGAAGCTTAAAGAATAGCATATATAAAGTTCCTAGTACAGGATGTAGCACGCAGGTAGTGCTTTAAAAAGGAACTGTTATTGGAGTATAAATCAGTAGTGTTCCTGGGCAGGAACCCAGTTGACTTTCTTCTTACCACATGGTACCTGCTTGGGATATGAATGCTGGGTTTGGTTCCAGAGTAACCTGGTGTTTAAAACTTATACTGTGTGGGTTCTAAAATGACTAATTTAGTTTGAGTTAAGTCTTATCATCTACTCTTGATAAAAGGTAGTGTCCAAACTGAATGAGATCCGTGTCACAGATTGAACAGTGTCTCGGGGTAGGTATAATAATTGAGTTTCATTCCAATTACCGATAATCCATTTTACTATTGGTCATATATTTGGCAGTAAAACAAAATATGTGCCACTGAGTAGAATACATTTTAAAATAAAATGAAATAGCAAGATTAATTTACTGAAATAATTATTTTTTAATTTAAGTTAATTATACATGGAGAAGAGAGGTAATTTTTTTAATTCAGATCCTTCATTAGAATATATCTTTAAACCTTTCTCTATGCTTGTATAGGTAAATTTTAACTCATAAATTTTTACTCATAAATGATCCTCTATGGATGCTATTTTGACATATATTAAACATCAATTCTGCTTTTTCAATGTGACATTTTTATTTCAGGTTGAAAGCCTACATTCGCTCTCAGACTGGGGTCCAAATTTTAATGAAGGTTGAAAATATGCAACAAAATTTAGTAAGGTAAAATTGCTCCCACACAATTTTTTAAAATATTTTATAATTCTGTAATATAATTAAGTAACTTGATTAGCTTAAGTAGCTAGTTATACAAATTATCTGACTATAAATAAAGCCTAGGCTTTAAAAAATCACTTTTAAATTAAAATTTTACAATAATCACCATTATAAGATGAATTCGGTTGAAAAATCACCCTGCTTGGAATATTTTTAAATAAATCATGTGCAACCGAAAGTTGCATTTTAACTTATTTCAATAAATATTCTCTGCAACAGAGTTCCAGTGTTCAAGCTGTTCCTGGAAATACAGAAATCCTTGTGACCAACTGATTATTGCATATATTGCAGTGGAAGAAACACTGCATACAGATGTGAAGGGAGTCAGGTTCTGACAAACAGGAGGATTCGATCAAGTCCTCAGCATCACTGGGCTCTGTTCCTTCTTAAATGGAATGTAGACCACACCGAATGGTCTCTGAGAGTCCCTGCAGAGTCTGCTGAAGTGCCAGTGTGTGTCAGCGTACTGACTTGCAAAATACCTATCTTTTAAGGCTCCTAATGCTTTTCCCATTCCTATTGTTTAATTAACAAAACTAATATATCCGGTTCAAACTAGATCTGGTTGGTCTTGTCTACAATTCAATCTGCTGGTACGGCTTAGAGGTTTGAGGGTCCAAGCTATGAAAGCAGAGCTGCATTTGAATCCCAGCTCTTCCTGCTACCAGTTAGTTGTTCAGTAAATTATATAACTTCACTTGCCTTAGTTTTCTCATGCCTAACATGAGGGTGATAATATTGTCATGAGAGATTAAGTTAACTCATTTTGCACATGGTAAGTGCATGCTTTAATAACTACTACTACTATAGATAAATAGATTCTTAGAAAAGGTCTACACATAAGATTATTAAGATTTTATAACTAAGAATGGATCTAAACATGAAATCTTGACCACTTCTCTTACCAACATATCTCAAATGCTCCTAGCTTTATATCTTTGTGTATGGTTCATTGATTGAAGAATTCAAGTTTTCTATCACATAATCCTTTCCTTAGACTCACTAGTTCAATATGTTTACTTGCAGTTCATTGTTTAACTTCACTTCTTCCCCTAAAAGATTGGGGGTCCCAAATAAGAGAAGAATAGGAAATTCTGTGGTTTCTGCAAAGATAGTTATCCAGAGTTAACCAAAATCAATTATTTCTGAACTCGGTAATCACTTATGTTTAACAAAATCCTGAAGTGAATTCTATATAATTCATGTTTAAACAAAATAATTTGCATTACTCCCTTAGAATTTACCTTTGGCCAATCATTAATGTTTTCTTCTTTTATTATCTACATTTCCTCTTCCAAATTTAGTTCCTTTCTTGCTTTGCACCATATTTTATCTACTTAGTTATGTAAGTGTTACTCATTTTTCACACCATGGTGCATAATTGATGAGTATATTATGGCTTCAGTCTCGTAAGTCTGCTAAAAGAACATTGTCTGAAGGTTTTTATGAAAAGTGAAATGGCTTTTGGATAGCTGTCTCATCTCCACTTCCCTAGGCCATGGAACTAACATACTTTCCCAGTCTTCTCCTGACAACCTGGCAACATGTCCAACCATTCTAGCACTTCGGCACCTTCCTGAGCATTTGCCAAGTCCTTGTCAGAGGCTGCTGGTGTGGGGACAATATACAAATGGCTCCAGAAGGAATGGAAGGGAGACGGTGTAGTGCTATCCATCTCAGTTCAGGAAGTTCTTATTCTTAAATGCTTGTAGGAGAGTAAAACTGCTTGCCTCATCATTTCCTTTGTGTGCACTTATCTGACCCTGAATAATTACAAATAATAGCCACAGGCTACTGATTTAATGGCTATATTGGTGGGATTATTTATTTTATTTTTTTAAGTTAATACGTATGTATTTGAAGCACCAGCTTGCTTTTATAGAATTAAATACAAATAATCTATTTTTGGTATCAACTTCAGCATATTCACCTTATTTACTTCTAATCAGCCATATAATTAAACTTCTTTACCAAAGTTAGGGAAAGTAACCTATATCATTTTGGTACAATTTCTAAGAACAAAAGCTCTTTTGGGTATTTTTGTTTGTTTTATTTCTATTTTTATTTCCTTCATTAACCTAAAAGGAAAGGTTTGTTGTATTTCTTTCCATAGTAAATCAAGGGAAATTGGACTGTGTCCAATGAAGAAGTGTCTTAACTTACTAAGCCAGTTGAACTTGAATCTTTGGCAAAATATTTTCTTCTCCCAAAATTCAAGGAAACTGAAATCGTATGTGATAAAGGGTAAATGTAGGACACTGGGTATTTTAAAGTTTATGCTATAGGACAGACTGCTTGGACCCAGATACCATCCATTTATTTTATTTATTTATTTTTAGAAAGAGGAAAAAAGGAGAAAGAGGAGAGAAACATTGACATGCAAGAGCTACATTGATCAGTTGCCTCTTACATACCCCCTTACTGGGATGGAGTGCCCTGACTGGGAATCAAACCTGTGACCTTTGGGTTCACAGGCTGGCCCTCAGTCTACTAAGCCACACAATCCAGGGAAATAGCATTGATTTTTAACCTGGAAATACATATTATAAATTCATGAAGAGGCAAAGGAGATAGAGATCTCCATTTGTCCTAGCAGACCAGGGTTTTCTGGGAGTGTGGCAGAAATGTATGACGTGCCCCGGGTATAGTGGTTGGGAGAACCATTTCTTGCAGTTGTATAAGAAGAAGTCAGGGTATGTGGAGGCCAGAACAGAGGAAAGTGCCAGTAGATCATATGGTTTATTTTAACAGAGTCAAAGAGGGTGAACCTGAACCAAGAAAAAGGCCAAAGAAATGCACTGAAAGGTCAAATGATTTAACTTCAGGCTTCATTTTCCTTAGGTCCTTTACTTTCTCTTATTATACAGCCTTCCTTCTTTAGGAACCCAGTGAGGACCAAAGTTGAGCCTTGGGTTTATCTTTATCTCCAAAGGTGGGGGGGGAGGGGAATGATAGGTTAATAAAGTAAAAGATGAATGGTGTTAACATTAAGGAATACCTACAATACTGTACCAATAGTAAACCTGAGCCAGACTGAGTAGCATGAGAAGGACTTTGACTTTCCCTTATCTGTGTAGAAACCTTTCCTTTGGATTTTCCTATTTGAGGTGTTTACATGAACTCAGTGTAATGTATGCAAATACCATGAAAGAAGAGGAAGCAAATGGTTACAACCTAGGTCCAGGAATTTTTGACATAAAAATTACCATCTTATTTAATTTTGAGTAGTGATGACATCACTTTAAGACAATAATAATGTCAGAAATCCTTACTGGAGTAGCTTTTATCCTGAGGTGGACCCACATTGGGGTAAAGTAGATCCTTTCATTTCTGGATAAGTCAGCCTCAAGATACAGTTATCTTGACTTCCGCCAAGATGGAGGATTAAGGTGGATGTGCCTGCCTCCTCTCACAACCAAGTTTAAGGACAACTAAATATTAGCATCAGAAAACACAACCAGAACACGGAAAACTGAACTTTTCGGAAGTCCGCAAACAACAAATTCTCCGGCCCGGCCGGTAAGAGGCAAAACCGGCGGCGGCGGGTTGAGGAGTTACAAAGGAGAACTCGTGCGACCCGGGCGCGGGCGCGGAACCCAGACGCGCGACTTTTCGGAAGTCCGCAAACAGCAAATTCTCCGGCCCGGCCGGTAAGAGGCAAAACCGGCGGCGGCGGGTTGAGGAGTTACAAAGGAGAACTTGAACGACCCGGGAGCGGGCGCGGAATCCAGTCGCACGGGTTCCAAACCCAGGATTGGACCTAGTGAGCAGCCCACCGGGTGAGTGACTACGGAGGAGTCAGTGGGGAGGCGGTGGCAGCGAGTTGACTGTGGGTGCCCGGTTACGCGCGGGTGAGGGAGTGAGCGGGGACCGGCGGCAGCGCCATTTTCCCCGCTCTGACCACGCCCCCACATACAGCGTCACAACCCAGCGACCTGGGACTCCAAGGCGCCGCTTCTCTCACTTAAAGGGCCAGAACAGACCAAAAATGTCGCAGGGGGACCTCAAAGTCCCGGAGATAAATCTAAGTGACGAAGAAATAGCAAATCTCTCAGACGCACAGTTTAAAACACTGGTCGTCAGCTTCCTCACAGATCTGGTGGACTATAGCCACAAATTAGAGAAACATATGAAGGCTAAATTAAGGGAAATGAATGGAATTCCACAGGAAACCCATAGAGATGAAAAAAAAACTGGGACTCAACTCAATGGAGTAAACCAGAAGGAAGAAAAAATGATCAATCAGAAAGGAATGAAGAAATAAGAATTCAGAAAAATGAGGAGAAGCTTAGGAACTTCCAGGACATCTATAAACGCTCCAATATCCGAATTATAGGGGTACCAGAAGGGGGGAAAGACACAACCACCAGTGGAAAAACTATTTGAACAAATAATAAAAGAAAATTTCCCCAATCTGGCAAAGGAAACAGACTTCCAAGAAATCCAAGAAGCCCAGAGAGTACCAAAAAAGTTGGACTCAAGAAGGAACACACCAAGGCATATAATAATTACATTAGCCAAAATTAAAACGAAGGAGAGAATCCTGGAAGCAGCAAGAGCTAAGGGGACAATCACCTACAAAGGAGTCCCCATCAGGCTGTCAGCAGATTTCTCAAAAGAGACCTTACAGGCAAGAAGGGGCTGGAAAGAAATATTCCAAGTCATGAAAACTAAAGACCTACAACCAAGATTGCTCTACCCAGCAAAACTTTCATTTAGAACGGAAGGACAGATAAGGTGCTTCTCAGATAAGACCAAATTCAAGGAGTTCATCATCACCAAGCCCTTATTATATGAAATGTTAAAGGGACTTATCTAAGAAAAAGAAGTTAAAGAAACATGAACAGTGAAAGGACAACAAGCTCACAGTTATCAACAACCACACCTAAAACGAAAGCAAACTAAAAGGACAGCTAGATCAGGAGTGGAAACATAGAAATGAAGAT